CCGTGGACAAGTGCAGCTACCTGGACGTGGTGAAGATGATCGCGGACACCAGCAAGGTGAAGCTCCGCATCCGGGAGCGGTACGTGGTGCAGATCACGCCCGCCTTCAAGTGCACCGGGATCTGGCCCCGCAGCGCGGCGCAGTGGCCCATGCCCCACATCCCCTGGCCCGGTCCCAACCGGGTGGCGGAGGTGAAGGCGGAGGGCTTCAACCTGCTCTCGAAGGAGTGCTACTCGCTGACGGGGAAGCAGAGCGCGGCCGAGAGCGACGCCTGGGTGCTGCAGTTCGGCGAGGCCGAGAACCGGCTGCTGATGGGCGGCTGCAGGAACAAGTGCCTCTCGGTGCTGAAGACGCTGCGCGACCGGCACCTGGAGCTGCCGGGGGAGCCCCTCAACAACTACCACATGAAGACGCTGCTGCTGTACGAGTGCGAGAAGCACCCGCGGGAGACCGACTGGGACGAGGCGTGCCTGGGCGACCGGCTCAACGGCATCCTCCTGCAGCTCATCTCCTGCCTGCAGTGCCGGCGCTGCCCCCACTACTTCCTGCCCAACCTAGACCTCTTTCAGGGCAAACCCCACTCGGCCCTGGAAAGCGCTGCCAAACAGACCTGGAGGCTAGCCAGAGAAATCCTCACCAATCCCAAAAGCCTCGACAAGCTATAGGGTTAACACCCCCGCGCACAAAACTCGCCCTCCGTAAACAACAACAGCGCCTAAAAACTTTTTATTTAACGCCAACGACGACGGAAAGAGGCGGCGAAAGAAACGCGTCCCCGCCACCCCCCACCCACCTGCAGCTCGGCGTTTAAAAACTTGCAGACGGTTTTCCCGGCATAAACTCTCACCGCCTTGCTCGGAAGAAGGGAAGAGCCTCTCCTCCTGTCCTCCAATGTGAATTTTTAAAAAGTCACAAAAAGAGAAGCAATCGGACTTTTGCAACCTCAAAACGAAACCCGAAAGGTACATTTTCCAATCCATGTATAGTCCTTTTCTTATTCTCTCTTGTTTGCCTGAATGTTGTCACCAAGTGAAAAATTATTTAACTATATGTACAAATCTCCCTTTAAAAAAGTTTTACTGATGTTAAATGTATTTCGGTGCCAAGGTCAGATTATGTGCCCCACAACTGACTTGTTGCAAATAGTAATAAAAATATTACTTTAACTTTACGCTGACTTTTCGTGAATGGTTCTTAAATTCAGGCAAGTAGATTCTTTCTGAACCTCAGAAGTAAAATTTTTAAAAGAAACAGAAACACGAGATGTAAAGATAGTCTAAACGCGACACCTAGCCGAAGCCTTAGCTTGGCATATTCATTGACGTTTTCTAAACGTCCTTCTAGTTTCCATAAAAATAGTGCAATCTAAGAACAAAATCTTATATATTCTGTAGTTCAGCATGTGACAACATCTGCTATATTTCTATGACTAAGCTTCCCCTCTAAATCTTAGGAATATATGGAGCATCGCGCAGCACCTCGCCAGAATTTGGACAGAATTAGAGCATGCCGTTTCCTACCCTACGGTCGTCACCTTTAATTTTTTCCTTAGAGTTTTCTTTCCTTCTCTTCCCCCGTAAATCTCAAGCGCTTGTATTTTGTTTTAAAAATTCATCGCTATTTGCTTTCGCTTCCCAGAGCGAACACGCTATCCATTTGACTTTGACACGAAGGAAGTATAGATCTACCCTGAATAATTAATGCGCTTTAGAGCAACCGGTCGATATTTTTTTAAACAAACATTTGTTTTCCCCGGATTTTTAAGTACAGCATAAAATCGCACCGCAGCGTAGCCAGACGAGCAGATAAGCAACCCGTAAGGAAAACGCCCGATCCTACATTAACACCCGGTCGTTCTCTGAGCAGGCACCGCCGATCTCCTTCCCCGCCCGAGCCCCCTCTCCCAAAGCAAAGCTCTACCCGATTCCTTGTATTTCGTGCTGTAGCGATTTCGCTTTAAGTTTGCTCAGGGCAACTTAGAAATATTTGCAGGATTTTTATCGGGAAGGCATTTCTAAGCTTTAAAAACGTTAGCATTATCTGCTCCAGCCGCCCGAAAGATTTCGAAGCCGGCTCGGAGCATTTCGAGCAAGTTTTTGTGTCGCTTCGGGGGTGGTAAAAATGTAAGTTCTAGCCCCAAAGGACTACTTCCGTTTCTTTGTGGACGGATCCGGAAAGAAATAGGCATCCAAACTTGAGTTGCTTTTAAGTTAAAAACGAAGTTAACGAGTCCGACAGCAGCCTGGGAAATGAACTTGCAGCGAAGCCGCGGCGGC